ACTGGATTTACGTGATCCTCATTGTGATGGCAACATCTACACTAAGTGGCATTCTATGCATGCGCGTAATTTTGGATCTGATTACTTATGGTGTGCGTGTAAACAGAGATTTTATATCAGATTGTTGAGTGTGCATACAAACACCTCAGTCTTAACTTATAATCAGAATTAATTCAATCAGATTGGCCAAAATATTTGCATTTAATCTGTAGCCTGTGACAAAAAGGAAAATCAATGCTATGGCGACCTGTAGTAAACAAAATGGTTCCAAACCTGATACATTTTGTCCTACATACATTCTTCCTCTGAATGTTACTGGATCCTCCTAATTACAAGGTCATTTCTGTCACAGACAAATCCAACTTAGACCTGGAGCTCCTAATAAGGACAAGAAGCCACCTACAGAATGCCAATAGTTCATCTGTCCTTGGCATGAATATTGATGGGATTTTGATCAAACCTTCTGCCTACAGAGTTATCTTTGACCCCACACTCTCCTTTGAGAGTACATGCATTTGTGACATCCTGGTTAAACTATTGTAATGTTCTCCTGTCTGGCCTCAGTAGGCTATAGTATATACAGAATGCCCTTGCTAGGGTCTTCATCTGTTTGATGAGGACTCAAGAGTTTTCACTGGTTACCTACCACATTCTGTGTTCAGTACATGCTTCCTCATATTACATATAAAGCTCTGCTCAGCTGGATCCTTTTTTCCCTGTTTTAACTTCTTCATTTTTATGTGTCCCATCCCATACCATACGATTGAGTAATTTAGGCCTTTGTCATGTTTCAAGGTTTAAATTGACCTGTATTGGTGGTTGATCATGTAGTGTAGTAGCCCCCGAATTACGGAATACTTTTCCCGGTCTGTTCAGGATGCCTTCTCTATATCTTCATTAAATCTGTTAAAGACATATGTTTTTACTATGCTGTCAATGTTCCTCCTGTACTTGAATGTAATGCCTGTAATGTCTTTTTTGTTATTAACTGTGTACCCCCTGTTTAATGTGTTCACGTTCTTTGATCGTAAAGTGTCCTTGTGCATGGGAAAGGTACTATATTAACAAAAATGATGATGTTCAGAAGTTTATTTCACATTCTGCATTCAATTTAGAACCCTCTTAAATGAGCAGTAAGCAATTTTCTTATGAAACCAATACGGCAATATTCTCAGAACTCTATAATGACTGGCATGGGTGATACGGGGTGTCAATCCTGCCTCTCTGCGGTGTTAAGAGGCAATTGTACTCTTCTCATTTGATAGTGAGATGATTGTCACGGTCTACAGCTGTGTTTTCAGTGTTACTCAGAAGGTATGAGACGCAGAGGTAAGTTACTGGTAACTATAAGTAATATAAGAAATGCCTGTTTTTGGACTCTGGGTAGTCAATAACTGACACCACTGTTATCATAATGAGTTGTGTGAGGTGGAGGAACCAAACCAGATGGTTATGGATGATGTGAGGATGGACTTGATGGTTGCTGAGTAGATCTGGATCATCAGGCTCTGCGGCAGGTTGAATTTCTTCAGCTGTTTTAGGAAGAACATTCGCTGCTGTTCTATCCTGGTTATAGAAAGTGTGTTCCTGGATTTAGTGGAGCCCAGGAATTAGAGTGACACCACAGCAGAAACCTCAGAGCCATTAATGTTAAAGGGGGGGTTAGGGAGGCAGGGTTGCACCTGACATCCACCACAATCTGTACAGTCTTTTGTGAGCTGCACCAGGTGACCAGCTGCTCGACTCTGTATAACTGTATAATTAACACACAACAGTTACCAAACACACAGATTAGTGTTATGTTTTTGTTTGGGATCAAGTCATTTCTGACTTTAACATAAATCATCCTTTATCTTGGCGATCACTTGCAGTTTAAGCTGTTGTTACTGAGAAAGTGGGACTCCTAACAACACAGCTTATAGCCTATTATTCACGCTTCCTGATGAGCACCAATCAAAAAACAGTGTAACTTTTTGGTCATGTTGACAATGCCTGACAACAAATAAAGTATTTGACCCATCAAAGATATATAAAATATCTCTTGCTAGTCAATAGAGTCCATATATGGAAACTATACAGAAAAAACAGTAACTTTTTAAATTTATTGTATCGCTGTGATGTCACAAAAACACATTTACATTTACTTATATCTGCTCATTCAGCCTACAGCAAGTTAGCTCTGCCCATTTAGTATGAAGTTACAGGGCGTGTTTCAGCTCAGACTGTGTTTTGAATGAAGTACAATACAGTACAACCAATCATAACAGAGATTGCTTACATAAAGTCAGATTAATAAAAACGGTTAATAGTAAGGGATAAAGAGAGTTTGGAAAATGGTCCTGTTGATATGAATCATGACTGTTTTTGTAACCTTAAAACCCCACAAATGTTACTAGTGGACCTCAGGGTCAAAATTAAATTATAAAAATAAAAATAATCTTACAATATTCTTGCAACAGTCATGTTTCTTGAGTTGCGCCACTTGGAAACCTTATTTAATTTACTAATTTAAAAGTGTGCATCCAGGGGGCCCCTAATTCTCTGTTTTGCCCCTGAGCCCCTGAATCACTAAATCCACCCCTGTAAGATTGGATATCTCTCACACCCAGCACAAACTCATGATACCACCAAGCATAATTTAAACTGCTTTCAGAGATTACACATCAGATGAACAGTAAGAACAATCACAGTGGCCCAAAAACATTTAAACCAGTTACATTTTAATCCAGTGCATTCACGACTCAACTTTATCATCATCTCTTCCATACAATGAGATTCAGAGCCAGTTGTTGGGTAGGACTGTCTCTTCATTCTATCACTATAATATGACTGAGAAACATAAGAATGTGCAGGCTGTTAGCAAAACCACAAAAGCAGCAATGTGACATACAATATAAATAGCCTAAACTCCACATCATGATGGTGCAAACTTCACTGAAACTGTGCATGAAATGACTCACTGTTGCGGATATCCTGTTCTTCAATGATCAGGGCCCGCAGGATGACCACAGAGCTGGTATTATTTGGGTGTGGATCGTTCTCAGCACTGCAGTAACACTGATGTGATGGTGGTGTCTTAGTGTGTCTTGTGCTGGTACGAGTGGATCAGACACAGCAGTTCTGCTGGAGTTGTTAAACCCCTCAGTGTCACTGCTGGACTGAGAACCAAAAACATCCAGCCAACAGCGTCCTGTGGGCAGTGTCTTGTGACCACTGATGAAGGACTAGGGGTGCACAACTCCGGTCCTGGAGGGCCGGTGTCCAGCACAGTTTGGAGGTTTCCCCCCTAAAAGACACCCAGTATATCTGGCAATTAACAGATAAGTGTAATCAGGTGTGTTGGAGCAGATAAATCACCAAACTGTGAACCAGAGTTGAGCACCCCTGGACTAGAGGATGACCAACTGGGCAGTATCAAATGAACGACTGTCTCTGACTTTACATCTACAAGGTTGTTGGTCAAGGTAACAGTGTCTAATAGAGTGGACAGTGAGTGGACACACTGTTTAAAAACTCCAGCAGCACTGCTGTGTCTGATCCACTCGTACCAGCACAACACAAACTAACACACTCTCACTGCAGTGCTGGGAATGACCTACCACCCAAATAATACCTGCTCTCTGGTGGTCCTGTAGGGGTCCTGACCACTGAAGAACAGGGTAAAAAGGGTTTAACAAAGTAAGCAGAGAAACAGATGGACTACAGTCTGTGATTGTAGAACTACAAAGTGCACCTATATGATAAAAGGAGCTGATAAAATGGACAATGAGTGTAGAAACAAGGAAGTGCTGTTAATGTTGTGGATGATCGGTGTATGTTAGCTCCGTTGATGGTGATGAGTCTCAGTGAGAGCTCACTTTATGCTCTACTTGTATAAATTGAATTTCATAAAACTTTCAGCATCATTTAGTAAATTTATCACGTTTGATATCAGCTAACTACACAAATGTGCTGTTTTCCAGCTGAAAACGTAGTTAGCTACAATGTGACTATGCTAGTGAGCTTAGCAAGGTGCAAACTATTAGCATTAGCATTTGTCTGCTTATCCTAAAGACCTCAGATTGACTTCCCTCTCACTGTAGATTACAAGCTACGTGTCACCTACTGTGGTTTTGCATTATCATTTCGGTTTAATGTAAACACGGACCCGTATGCAAGTGTATACCCTGCACACCCACAAGCTACACCACTGGTGTACTGACTTTCTGTGAGGTAGCTTTCAGAGGCATTAAAGGGGAACTCCAGTAATTTTTCAAAAGTTACACATAATTAAATGGTTACAGTGTAAACAAACTCATTCAGAGTGGTTTAGTGTGAATGCTCTGTTCTACAGAAACTTACAGAATCCGTGTGTTTCACAGTGGTGGTGATAGGAACCAGACATGTAAGAAGTTTAAAGCCTTTAAAGGTGCCTCACAAAAAGTATTACATGAAATGGTAATGAATACACGGCCTGATGTCAGACACGTTGTTTTTATCTGGTAGTTTTGTGATATAATCAGAATTACATACAAAAACAACTGTAGGTTCACTAGTGGTTTTGAATAGTGAATAAAACAGCTATATTCGTGTTGTAGACATTGGACATTGTAACCTCTGGCTCCTGTCACCACCACTGTAAAGAAATCTGAGTCTGACTTTGTTTACATCGCAGCCACTGAATTATACAGAAATTTTGAAAATTCGGTGGAATTCCCCTTTAATGCATGAAGGCTTCAGACGTCTGGTTCCTACCACCACCACTGTAAATAAGCTGTAAATTCTGATTTGTCAAGCTTGTCTAAAATGGCACATTTCACATTAGGACATTCTGAATTACTTCGTTTACATCTTAGCGATTTAATTGTACAGAAATGTGGGGAAACTCGGTTAAATTCCCCTTTAATCTGTTTCGTATGTGTAATTTCGACGATTGTCCACTAGAGGAGCAGCACAGCCTGCTTCTCCTGGTTAATTTCCACCCCCCCCCTCTTTCTCCTCATGAATCACGCCGCTGACACGGCCCCGACTCGCCCATTACCGAGAGGGCATCACCCCGCCCGGCCCGGCCAGTCATTGAGGAGGTTTTGAGGGAAACTTTTGGCGTTATTCTTGAGTAGGGAAGGCCAGCTGAACAGTCACTGACCTGCAGGGGAGTGACTAACCTGACCACACGCCGCGGAGCGAAGCAGCAGAGTTTATTGCTGGATTTTAAAGTACTTTTTCTGGAGAGTCGCGATTCCGACCACAAAACAATGCGGGGACACGGGACCTGGATGCTAAAGCGGTAGCCTAGAGCTACTGTCCGTTAGTGGAGCAGACAAGAAAGAAGAGAAGAGCAGTTTTTGAGTTTCTGTTTTTATTCTCCACTTTAAAGTTGTACTGTCGATGTTCGGCAAAGGCCAGGACCGCGTTATGAGCTGGGAAAAGTAGTCCCGGCGCTGCTGTACGGGGAAACGAGCTGCTGGATGCGGGGACGCCCCCATTGCCCTCAGGCTACGGGAACAACTCGAGCCCCCGGCTCCGAAACCGGCCTGGACGCACAATAAGCCTTTTCTCCCGTTTGAGGAACTGTGAGAGTTTTGTTTTTGAGCTTCACGGAGCCAGGCGAAAGCGATATCTTAGAGGAAATGCTCCGAGCCTGAAGGAAACCTTTCATTGTTCAGTGCAGCCTGGTAGTCGTGCATTTTTTCAAAGTAACAGAATGGCGTCTTATGTGGACAACAGCTTTCGTCAGGCGATTATGAAGAGCCCGGCCGAGAGGACGCAACAGGTAATATCAGTTACATTCCCTGCTTTGTGTTCAGACCGTGATAAATTCATCTGCAGTCGTCGAGAAGGAGTTTCCACACCGTAGCTAGTTGTAGCATCGTTTCCACTCGCAAATCTTGTTAGGGAGCTAAGCTAATTTTAGCCGCTTTACCGTTACTCAGGAGCTTCTTATTCGAATTTTCCAGTCCACCTTAAATGGTGCAGTAGTTGCATTCTGACGCACGGAGCGGCGCCAGAGTGTGATGCGGCACTATTTACTTTTTAAGGTGGAACGGAAATGATGATGGGGAGCCAACTTCAGCATTACGTTACTGGATATGAGTCATGTTGGTGATAACCGAACACAGGAGAAGTGGTCGCTTTTGACTGTAAAACATTGGTCAGAAAGAATTTTCCTCATTTCACTGCCATGTTTTAAGTTCGCTTGCCTCAAACACAGATACGGTGAACTGGTAAAGGGCAATTCCACCGATTTTCAAAATTTCTGCATAAATCTGTGGTTGAGATATAAACAAAGTCAGAGTGGTTTGGTGTTAAGTGGTTTATTGTAGAGACTCAGATTTCTTTACAGTGGTGGTGATGGGAATCAGGGGTCTTGGTATCAATAACACAAATGTAGCTATTTTATTTACTATTCAAAACCACCACTGAACCTACATGTCTTCTGAGATTTTGTATGTAATGTCGATGATGGTAAAATAGTGGTAAATCTGAAAAAGTAAGATTTCTTTGGGTACTGTTTCGCCTTAAAATACCTTTCACGTCTTTCCACCATGAATGAATAAGAATGTTTTACTCCAAAACTTTATCACAAAACTAGAATTAAAATGGCTTCGACATCAGGCTGTGTATTCATAACCACTTCATATAATAGCTTTCTGTGAGGGAGCTTTTGAAGGTGGACGTCTGGTTCCTGTCACCACGTCTGTGGTCAATTCTGACTCAGTAAGTTTCTCTAGAACAGAGCAACAGAACAAACCACACTGAATGGCTTTGTTTACGTCACAACCATTTAATTCTGCAGAACTTCTGGAAAATTGGTGGATTTCTCCTTTAACAGAGCTGGTGGGATTTTTTTTGTTGTTTTTTTTTGTTTTTTGGCGTGGTTGGAATGTGGTCTTATTTTAGCTCCACTTCTGACTCAGTACTCCAGACCAGCGTAACTCACCCTGATTAAACCAGAGCCAGTCAGTCTGATGATGACATCCGTCTACATTACACTATAATATAGTGACACACAGCACGTTATTTTGCAAGCTTTTCCTCCCAATGTTTCTACTTCGCTCACATAGCCAGAAGCGACAGTACATTGTCGCGTAGGCCCTGGAGAGCTTGAAAAAAACCCTCAGGAATGCAAGGCTGTGAGAAATTCAGAATTGAAGGAATGCGGGGTGCAGCATGTGTGCCTGCCAGCAGTGTCTTCTGACATGAATGAACAACTAGACATGTGCCTGTTTCCTTTAATGCTGACCTGAACTAACCATTTATGGACTGACAAAGTACAAAAGTCTGAAACTGATTTTGGTAAGGCCAAGTACCAAATTCATGAGATTGAAGATTGATTTCTGGTCATAGGTATTCAGCTTTAAAAAATACAATGAAATTCTTATACTACAGCAGCCTGAACCAACATACAAGTAGACCAATAAATAGAAGTACACAGGAGCCAGTGGGGGAGGGGGGTATTGCACATACAAGAAGGATATTGCACATGCTAGACAAGTACGTCAGACAAAAAGTGGCACCAAATGATACAGGTGACTGGCAGTAAGGAATGAGGTGGATGGCAGTAATAACAGAATGGGTGCCGTGGCTGCACCATACAGAAGTAGAGAGGGTTATTATTATTGTTACTGTTTGTAAGAGTATTATAATCTGGTGAGAATATGGCAAAACCTAACACATTTTTTCAGTATTTGAGCAAGATTAATAATTTTTTTAAACAAGTGACCTACACAGAGGGGCAGTAGATAGGCAGATTTGCTCGTCATTTGAGTTTTTGGCATTGGGATCGTTGTGCTGTAACTTGAAAGCTGCATACATGTTTTTGAATATTGGAGTTACTCCCAGTAAAGATCGAACTTTTGGTGTCTCTTTGTCGTGGACAGAGCATCACATCCTTCTCAAAGTCATACTCCAGCTTCATGAATTCTGGCAATAAAGACGTAATCTAATAACCCAGCCGTCATTGCAGGCTACGAAGAAATGATCAGAGTTATAGTGAGAATTTTTTTGTCACATCGTCACGTTGTCTATCGTAGTGGTACCGTTAATGTAACAGTTGGCGAATTCTAACAAAATCTGGTTTGATACAGTTACATGTCTGACCAGACAGGCTCTGAATGTCGTTGGGGAGGGCATAAAGTAGTTATTTTGTTATTAATGGTAGATATTTGTGAGCTGATGTTTTATTAAAAGGAAAGTGCAAAAAAAAATCTCCAAGACATGTGGCCACTCAGCACACAGGGTCTGCAAGTTAGTGGTTAAAACGTGAAATATGAGGGGCACCATGCAATGGGCAGTGTTGATCCCTACCTACACGTCTCTGCTGTAAATGAAAATACAGATATTGCTTCTAGCATCTACTGTTTATGAACAATTAAGGTAAAAATGAGGTGAGTGCAAATGTTCCGACCTCATAGTGAAAACTATAATTGAAATTCTGTCTTGTTTCCAACAAAAGTCATAAAACCCAGCTTTAAATAAGATTAGTAAAAGAGAGCATGGTAAAGTTGACATCTGTAGTACATTTTTGATAAATCTGTGTATAAAGACCTCCGAAAAATCAGCTGATTTTGAATTTGTATGGCAATTATTGGCTTTGCTCATTGTTTACCTTATGGAGGCCTAGTTGTAACACTCTGTTACAACACCACCATGAGGTTGCTGTTCTTCAGCCTGGCTAGCTCTCACTGTGAGTTGTTTACATGTTTTAAAACGGTGTTGTATTACAGACACCAATGTATTTATAATGAAAAACGTTACTCTTGTGCAACAAAATCAAGGTGAATCTCAAAAAATATCTGATTGTTTGCGGTCAAAATTTGTGGATGACTAAAAACACGTTCTTCTTGATACTACATACTTAAAATATCCGTGTTAGATTTCACGGCTCTTTAGGTTGTGTACTTCTATGTTACTCTGACAACACATGCATGAACTGTTTCTAGAAGTTGTAATCATGCCTCACACTCATTGAGCTCCTTACATGCAATGTTCCCATATTCAGCATCCTGTTTATGTTATTCTGCCAGACCTTACTGGCAGCTTTCTAACATTAGTAACTGGCTTATCTCGCAGATCTTTCCTCTGTATTATGCCAGTGCTTCTGTTTAATCGTCCTTGTAAACTTGTACTACTTGTATCATAACGCCACTATCCGGTATAGCCCAGAGGAGAAGAGAGTTTTTTTTTATGGTTCCTCTCAATGTTTCTTTCTAATTTTCGGAGAACTTTTTCTTTCGAGTGCTGAATTTCCAGAAATATGCACTGGGACAGCGTCTGTTATAAAAAGTGTTAAACAAACAACATTGAATTGAATGGAACTGTGATATTGTAGCACACAGTACTGAAACACCTATAGTTTTTCCAAGCTGTGAGAACAGCCTTCATTGTTGCTTGTAATGGATGTGTGGTCAGTGCCCTTAACACACACAAGAGAAATTCCTGTGAGTCGTTGGAGCGTTGGTTAAACACAGTCGACATGACTCTGATGGATTTGAGGGCTTTATAGTTTCTATAATACATACACAGCATTGCACATTTGAGTGGCTAAAACTTTTCCCTAAAATTTTGTTTAATCTGAGTAGTTTATCACTGAACCACCATCAACAGTTGTGTTAGCCCAACAATAACATGTTCAAAGAAACATCCTGAATTGAATAAACGCTTCGTTTGGCACTTGGCTCATACGGAGCCGTATCTCTGGCCAGACAAGTCAGTTTGTTCTCATGAGATATAGGAGCAGTTCAATTGGTGACGATGCTGAAGGCGAAGGGTGCATATTCGGCATTCACAATCCAGGTTTCTGGGCCTGATTAGCCTTTAAATAAGAAGTTCTCTCTCTAAAATCAGTTCTCAAAGTTCACACCTCAAGTACATTAGTATTAGTAAAACAATCCAGTTTAGATCAGTTAGGATGGCAGTAACTTTAAAATGCTGGAGGAAAATCATTTCATTTGTAGTTTGCACATGGACATTCTACTTATTTATTTTTTTAAAAGCTGTTTTGTAGTGTATTAAATACGGACTCTAGGTTGAATGACATTTGATTTATATGATTTTGCCTACATACTCAATCACTTCATTTTTGGTAAACATGTAGTGCTACCCATTCGTAACTACTGTCTTTTGTGTATTTTGACTTCTTATACAAAATAACCTTTGTATGGTGTCTTGAATATGTTAATTCCATGTTACTTCAAAATATACTAATTTCGCTGTTTTGGACATGTTATTACTGGCAATGTTGAATCCCAGGAGTGAAGCAGGATGGTTGGCGGAGTGTTTCCGCAGCGCCTTTGTTATCACGCCAATTGCGAGAGAGTGAATCAGATCGAGACATCTCTAGTGGAAATTGACGAGGAAATCCTAACAATGGGTGAAGTTCCTGAGATTGGCCTTTTTTTATAGCAGGCCTGGTGGACCTGATTGTGGCGGGGAAAACCAGCATTTTAAAGCGTTTTCTTGATGATGATGTGTTTACTCTTGTACTGACAGGGCAAGAGTTTGAGTTATCAAGCTCTTGACTCAGCTAGTGACGCCCTTAAGCACAAACATTTCGCTGCTCGAACAATGCCAGACTGAATCTGTGGAGTGGAGTGAATGCGAAAGCCTAGAAGATTCAGGATGTTTTTGTACCAGGCGAGCACAAGCTAAGACGTCAGTGCAGTGCAAGGGTCAAACACCTTTAACACTCACTGAAACTGCTTGCTAAATGAAAAGATAGATATGAATAGTGCTGTTTGTTTTATTTTATGAGTAAAGCAGCAGTTTATCTTG